TGGAAGAAGCGGAAAAGAAGATTAAACAGCACCCCATTTCAGAGTAGGTGTGGGCGGCAGAAAGGGAGAAGAGGATGACAGATTGGGAGAAGCTACAAGTCGAGAAACAATGCAGATGGAAGGAGAACCTGAGAGTGAAAGAGATTGTTATACAAGACAAAATGACCAAAGAATCATTTCAGAGACTACTGCCAAGATATTCCTTTCATCAGGTGGTTTAACTCAATCATCCCTTTGACGCCACGGCCCCTCAGGCTAGCTCTGCTGAAGGGATCTTGGACTACGCTAGACTTTTCTACTCGGATATCTTGACGACAAGGCGACCAAGAGAAGAGGTGGATGCAGACCTCTCCGTGGAACTAGACATGTGGATAGACACGGAGGCCTCCCTTACACAGGCAGATTGCCTGAATCTGGACAGACTGGTCTCTCTAGAGGAGTTACAACATAAACTGACGGTGATGGCGGCAGGTAAGTGTTCGGGCAAAGATGGCTTGACAGTAGAATTTTACCGTTCTTGTTGGGAGGCGGTGGGTCTGGCCCTGGTGGAGGTGTACAACAAGGTGCTGGAAGGGGAAAGGATGGGGAGCCTGATGACATTCGGAGTAATCTCGGTGCTATTTAAGAAAGGAGATAAGGCCAATGTAAGAAATTATAGACTCATCTCGGTGTTGAATGTGAGCTACAAATTGCTGGCGAAGATGCTGGCGCTGCGTTTATGGAAAGTACTTCCGAAGTTAGTTGAGTGGGACCAAGGGGCTTTCATGCAGGGCAGATCTATCTTTGTGAATATTCTTACCACAATTGAAAACATTGAAGTCATCAGAGAGGAAAATTTGGATATGGTCGTTCTCCTTTTGGATATGGAGAAGGTTTATGATAGGGTGGGCTGACCGTTCGTATTGACCACGCTAAAGAAAATGGTTTTTGGTCAAGGTTTCTGCAGATGGGTAGTTGCAATGTACACGACAACAGAATCGGCAGTCCAAGTCAATGGCCACCTGTCGACATCCTTCCATGTGTCCCGCTCGCTCAGACAGGGATTTCCCCTAGCCCCGCTCCTCTTCGTGTTGCAACTGGAGATTCCGCTGAATCGGATTCGGAAACACCCTTGTATTCGGGGCCTGCCGCTGTCGGCCAGCAAAGACCGTAGGGTTAAGGCCCTGGCAGATGACTTGTTCGTACTGTCGGAAACTTCACTGGAGTCTCTAGGGTTGTGAAGGAAATCCTAGGAGAGTATTCTTAACTGTCGGAGGCATTGGTGAGCTGGAACAAATCAGTCTACCTCCTCCGGTTGGCCTACAATCTGAGAGTAGAATGGGGCATGCAGCGGGTAGATCCGGAGTCAGGAGAAATACTTTTGGGAGTGCTGGTCAGCACGAAAGTGATGCGGATGGCCCAGGGAATGATAGTGCAGTAAAGAGTGGCAGCAAGACTCCAACAGTGGGGAACCGCAGGGCACCTATCCTTAATGGGCCGTGCCATGGTGATCAACGTAGCCCTATTCTCACTAATTTGGTTTGTAGGAGCAAGGAGAGAGATTGCAGCCAACTCCTACATGGAGATAAGGAGATTGTCGACGAGATTTTTATGGAAACCGCAGGCAAGAGGGGAAGAAGGATTTTTGAGTAAGGTGGCATGGGATCTAGTTACCTTTTTTAGGGATCAAGGAGGGCTGGGCCTGATCGACCCACAACGGAAGAACCAGGCCCAACTGCGTAAGTGGCTGGCGAAGGTTGCACTGGCGGAGGTCAAAGAAGACTCGATCTTATTAGCGGAACAGATTCTGCAGAGGCAATGACAATTGAGTAGGAAAGAGGACGTTTGGATCTGCTTCTTCATGGAGTCATTCATGCGGAAGAGACTTAGATCAGAGTCCTGGGAGGCAGTGCGGCGGGCCTGGATCAAACAACCTCTGGATGAAAGAGCTCAGCTCGTGTCAAAGGAAGAGGTTCTCGCTCAACCTCTCTTTGAGAACCCGCTCATCTTGAACAGTGAAGGAAGACATTTTTCCGCAGGTCCGGAAGCAACGGCCTTTGGGAATTCTTGGGTTAGGAGGGGAGTGGTAAGAATTGCGGACTTATGGTCTGATCTTATGGGGAGGTGGAAGCCTTTGCAGGAGATACTAGTCCCACTCCAGGGACTGCGGAGGGTGGAAAAGAGGTGGAGAGGAATTTTTCAGGCAATACCCGAGGACCGGCAGTTGCTGCTAGGCCCGGAAGGCCTAGATCCTCCGGGGACCTGGTATATGTCAGAGCAGGCTCCCAGCCAGGGAAAGGTTTGGAAACTGTTGAATTTGACAGTCTGTGGTTTCAGAGAAGTACAAGAGTGGCGCACAATGGATCCCTCTGGCAGCTTGCAGCTAGAGGGCAGTCGAGTAATCTCCCAGTGGCACAATCCTCCTCAGATAAGAGTGATCGAGTACATACACAAGAGAGGTGAATTCAAATCTGCGAGGTGGGTGGGTAGAGCTCCTCTAAGCTCCCTACCCATTGACCCCAGGGCGTGGCGCTGGAGTAAGGGCAACCCTAATCCAACTTCCCCTCTGGGGCTGGATTTAGTTGCGTTTTCAGTCCAGGAATCGTATAGGCTGACAGAGGAAAAGACCAGATCACCGGCGAGTGTGGCCATTGCTAGGTGGAGTGCGGTTCTCCTGACGGATCTTCAGGACTCTCCAGCACAGTTTGAGAAACTGTGGAATGTGCTGACAGATATCCCAGATGAGAAACAAGCCAGCATCCTGTGGATGCTCTCATTACTGGTCACTCCCTCAGCGGTCTGGCTGAAAGGCCGAGGTATGGAAATTTCTTTGCGCTGCACCCGCTGTACCTGGCCTTTTGAGTCGACAAAGCACCTCTGGTGGGACTGCCCTGCCTCGAAGTGGATATGGAAGTGGTGGGCAGACCGTTGGACTCAAATGGGAGGGGGAGAAGTGGAATCATGGGACGAGCACTGGGTCTTACTGGGTTTCGTTGGAGAGGAAAGGTCTGGCAAACGAGGGTGGTCTTATGTAGCCCAAGTGGCCAGGGCAGTAATTTGCTCAGATTGAGGGTCTAGTTGCACTACTCGCCATCCGTCACAATTCGTGGTGGTGGATGCGTGGAGAGTGAAAAAAATGGGAATAGTGTTGAACTCAGGCCTGGTTGCACTTACCTGCCAATATATTTCTTCTACAGTAAAGTTAAATTTTTTTGTCTACCTGATGTCCAGTGGTGAAGCGGTACACCTCCAGAAAGTTAATTTGTGGAGAGGTCTGAGGACCCTCCACAAACCCAAAATGAAAACACTCTCTATCAGTTGTGTCGATGGTGTGGCGAGCCGTCTAAGGGTCTCGCTCCACTACTGTCTGCTGTACACAATTTCGTATAGCGGCCGTATAGCTGTCAGACAAAAAAAAAAATGTATAAAACCAGGCGTCGCTCCACTTACTATCTGCTGAACAAGTCTCAAATTCCTGAGTTCACTACAAAACACCCTTACAGCACTATAAGACAGCAATTTGTCGGCCCACATTCCAGGCGGACTATCCGATTTCGCGTTCGAACGGCGGCCTCCTTCGACCAGAATCTGGAGGGCGCCATCTGACAACTATACGGTGGTTTCAGATAGTAAGTGGAGCGGTGTCCCACCATACGAAATCGTACAGCAGATAGTAGTGGAGCGAGACCCTAAGAAACCTGTTCGCGGGTAAGTGCAACCAGGTGCCTACTCGCCTAACTTGGGGCATGGCGAGTATTGCAACTAGGCCCTGAAGATTGAACCCTCTTTCTCCTGAAAGCAACTTTTGTGCCTTACCAAGTGGCGTAGAGAGAAGATTAGCATGACCCCTTCGCATGGATCTTAGATCAGGAAAGGGTACAAGCCTCATAGGACATTCCTGTAGTAGACACTGGACAGGTACCCTCGAAAGGAATGAACCCGCGAACTGCGGTGAGGCATTAGAAAGCCCATTAGGGACAAATAGGCTGTCGATGGTGTGAGCTGTTCTGACGGCTGCGGGGGCAGCAGAACACCCGGCGCGGCTCGTTTCTGTGGCTGCAGGTATCGCTTCACGATGAGTCTCGGCACACCCCTCTCCAAGCCAAGAAAATACGAGTGCATCTTCCTCAGAAAGCCGCAAGATGCATGGGTTATTATTCATAGTGAGGAAGCATCTTGCCACTCTTGTTGTACTCTTTGGGAAACATACATCCACTCGAACGTTTTTTGTGTCGCGAGTGAGGAAGCATCTTGCCACTCTTTGGGAAACATACATACACAAACTTCCCGCGGTCACCCGCCGGAATTTGGAGCCAAGTCCTTCGGGACATCCGTTAAAATTGGAACGATACAGAGAATTAAGATTTAGCATGGCCCCTGCGCAAGGATGACACGCATACATAAATCGAGAAATGGTCCAAATGTTTAAACAACAAAAAAAAGAATTTGGCGCCAAAGCCAGGAGGCGGGAAGATTGTCGGCGAGACGGCCAGGCGGGGCGGGCGGGNNNNGGGAAGCAGTTGTCCTTCCGCAACCTCGCCACACGGCTCATGAAGCGGCAAAAAAAAAAAGTGAGTTGAGCGCATCTTCCTGCAAAATTTGGCCATATACAACCGTTATTTATTATTCACAATAAAGGACGAATCTTTCCACCTTCTTTGGGAAGATGCGCTCACATTTTCCTCGTTTTTTCTTGATTGTGCCGAGGCTCTGAGAACACACATATGGGCCTCTCGCTCCACCACAGGCAGAAAACACAAAACTCATGGCGGTGTGTGTATATTTCCCTGTTCTACGGGAAGATTCACTCTCGTTTTGCACATTCCGCGAGTAGCGGAGTGATGCACACAGATCCTATGTGTATAATCTGAGGAGACCAAAACTTATTTGTAAGAGAGTGAGACCCACAGATCCTACAGTCCCTCAGTTCACCATACATGTCGGGCGTGACGATCTCTCTATAGTTTTCATCCGCCGCCGCGTCGCGTTCTCGTCGCTGCAATTGCGTAATCCGTAGCGACAGCCTGCCGCCGCTGCCGGTAACCCGTAGCTTAGCGAAGGAGGACCTCCATTTCCCATCGTCATCATGGCTCGATCAAGCTTCGCGGCTATGGCTTCCATCGCCATCTTTGTGATTTTGTCATTCTACTCGCTCTGCCTGCCGGCTGTCGCAGCGACTGACGCGGATGCTCGTTATCTTGCCGACATGTATGGTGACGATGAGTGCCCTGTGGAATTCGGGCCGTTGGATTTCGTTCCAATCAAGGCGCTATGTGGCATCGACGTGGACAACGAACTGTGTTGCGAGGCACTGCAGAATGTAGCAATGGACTCGATCGCCTACAACAGCAAGTGCTTGCCGAAGTTCATTGCAGCGGTTGAGGCGTACACCACAGTAAGTTCTGAGGTGGTCCGTAAGTGCATGAGCAAGGACGGAAGAAGCGCTCTGGAGGAATTCACTGAGCGGTATTTTATGGCCGCTGCAGATTCTTCTCAGCCCGAGCCTTCTTCTGAATCTTACCCTTCTGAGGCCGAGCCTTCTTCTGAATCCTACCCTTCTGAGGCCGAGCCTTCTTCTGAATCTTACCCTTCTGAGGCCGAGCCTTCTTCTGAATCTTACCCTTCTGAGGCAGCGCCTTCTTCTGAGTCTTACCCTTCTGAGTCTTACCCTTCTGAGGGCGAGCCTTCTGACTCTGTTGATTCCGAGGCGCAGCCTTCTGAATCTGATAATTCTGGGGGTGAGCCTTCTGAATCTGATAATTCTGAGGCTGATCATTCTCAGTCTTCTGAAGCTCATCCGGGGGCGGCGGTGCTCAGCACCGGAGACGTGTAAAATTTCGAGGCGACGAAGAAAAGTGCAAAACCGCCGCGTTAGGCGGATGATAGAGGAGTACGAGGAGGAGGAGGACGAGGAGCTCTCTCTTGCTTTTCTTGTCTTTTTATGCGCGCATGATAGAGGAGGGGGAGGACGACGACGACGAGGGGAGGAGGAGAAGAGAAGGTCCCTCTTTCTTGTCTTTGTCTTTTTATGCGCATATGGTCGAGGAGGAGGAGGAGGAGCAGGAGCTCTCTCTTGCTTGTGTTGTCTTTTCATGCCCGGTCTCTCCATGGGTGGGTTTTATGACGCCAAGGATCTCCGCTTCCCCGTCTGAGGGATTAGGATGGTGCGTTGTGGTATGGAAGGAGCTGCTCTCCTTTCGAGACGCCTTGTTCTACCCGCACACTTGAAGAACGTGGCGTGCTGCGAAGCGAGGCCGGAGGGCATTCCGAAAGACGAATCGTCAGACGACGGAATTTCACTGTTCCGGGCATGCCGCATCTCTCTCTCTCTCTCTCTCTCTCTCTCTCTCTCTCTCTCTCTCTCTCTCTCTCTCTCTCTCTCTCGTTATTGGACGGTAGTTATACTACACTGTCATTCTGCTTAAAGATAATTGTTGCAGGGACCATTCGTAGGAGCGCTTCTTCCTCCCCTCCCCCCCCCCCCCCTCTCTCTCTCTTTCTTTCTTTCGTTCTTTCATTCTTTTCTTTCGTTTGCATCGCTGTGATGCTGTCTCTTATACACATCTAGATGTGTATAAGAGACAGGCACTACACTGTCATTCTGCTTAAAGATAATTGTTGCAGGGACCATTCGTAGGAGCGCTTCTTCCTCCCCTCCCCTCCCCCCCCCCTCTCTCTCTCTTTCTTTCTTTCGTTCTTTCATTCTTTTCTTTCGTTTGCATCGCTGTGATGTATGTAGGGTGTTGCCTCGAAGCGTCTTGCTGGGGAAGGCGCGTTGTGAGATTTTCCTTATTAAATGGGTTAAATGATTGAATAATACAGACCGCAATGGGCCAATTTTTGTAGTTGAACTCCGGCTGACGCGAACCTATGCCACATTATGTCGATAAACGTGTCGGGATGCCATCGTGGTTTTAGGCAGACATTCAGCGTGCGAGGATAGAGGGTAAACGACCGTTCGCGGGATCGCAGAGCGGGGAGGGCGGTTGTCATACTGCAGGGTAATTCCACATTGTCAAGTGGAATCAAGTAAATAAATATGAAGAGAAATGCTGCTTCTTTATCTTTCAAAAGATTGTTTCTTGTGCTGGATTCTGGAGCCTCTCGGCTGTTTATTCCTTTTTGTTTTCTTGTCGGTTTTGTTTTGTATTGAAATTGCACAGCCATGTAGGTAACGTCTGCATGTCCAGCAAGACGTTACCATTTTTCTTTTCTTTTCCCTTCTTTCTTTGGGTAAGTTTTAGCTTTTTTTTTAGCCATAACAATCAGCATTGTTGCATCGTGCCTTCATCTAGGTCTGTTTCTCTTTCTGTTTGTCTGTTTGTTTGTTTGTTTGTTGTGTGTGTGTGTGTGTCTCTGAGAGAGAGAGAGAGAGAGAGAGAGAGAGAGAGAGAGAGAGAGAGAGAGAGAGAGAGAGATGGGTGGCGGAAGTCGTTGCTTCATCTGCTGTACTTATAAAAGCGTTGCTAGGGCTGTGGGGTGGCCCAGCCTTTGTGCTTGTCACTGCTTCACTGCTGTCTGGTCCAGGTTGCCCTCAATACTTGTAGTGTGATGGTCCTGAGTGCTCGTTACAATGAGGAATAGGTAGGAATAGGGGGTGTGCTGGGATTATTAATGTGGGGAAGGGTAGGGAACGTGGACTGTCCTGACAGGACAACCACCGGCTGCGGCTGCCAGCGGTCACCACCGTGGGTCTTGGCCTCTGCAACACCCTGGTTTATAAGGGGCAAAAAACAAACAAACAAGAAGAAGAAGAAAAAAAAAGCTTTGCCCACATTCTGAAGTAACGTTTCTTTATTTTATTTTTTATGTAACTCGACTTTCCTTCTCTATTTATGCGTGCCATTCTTTTTTTTTTCTTTTTTTTTGTTAAGCCCCTTTATAATCCCACCATTCTTGCACAGGGGCTATGGTAAACATAGCTTTTTTATTTTCTGAATCGCTCCAGTTTTTTCTTTCTGAATTGTTCCAGTTTTTTTAATAGTCCGGGCGGTTCTTTGGCTCCGGGGCCGAGGTCCCACTAGCAAAGATGATCGGATCGAATGCCTGAATCTGGATGTGTTTTATGCAGAGATGCAGAAAAGCACTTCAATCTCTATTTCCTGCACCTCTCACCAAACACGTCCAGATTCAGCTATTCGAACCAATCCTCTTTGCTAGTGGGACCACGCCCCGGAGTTCCACCAGCCAAATGAACCGATTGTGACCCGTCGATTTTTTAAATTTGTTGTTATTGTTTTTTTTTTTGACCCGACGATTTTGTGAATGCACGTTCAGAACCGCTTAATTCTTGATTCAGGCAGATGGGAGCGTGCCTCGGGCTCGTGCTGAGGTCTTCTGATGGTGGAAATTTGCTGATAGTCTCGATTTCCTATCGACCTAATTTCTTAAAGAATTGAAAGGAAATTTTTGAAATCGTTGACACCGGCTGAGTCGCAATAAGGGCCTTGCTCCACAGCTCACCAAATGTGGAAAATGAGAATGAATCTTCCATTAGAACGTGGGAAGATGCACCTCCATCTTTTTTGTCTTTTGTGCTTGTGGAGAGTACTGCAGCGAGGGCCTCACTAAGTGGAACTGCCTCCTCGCTATTATCCTTTCCCTGCGTCACATCCAGCAATGATGTTTGCAGGGTCGCGGGTATAGGGGGAGATTGTGGAGGGACGGGGGGGGCGGAGGTTGGGGTATGAAGCGTGGTTAAATCACCAGTACAAGCCACGATGTTAGGAAACGCACCCACCACTACAGGAGAGACCAAATTCATCCCACTAGAAACGTTTCTACTCTATTTTTTTCCGTGGCCGATAGCTGGGCCAAGTACTGGTGGTTTAACCCGCTTGCTTCGGACATTAATGTGGACGAGCCCTTCGATTGGGTGAGGCCTCCAAAACAGTTTTACCGTCTTCCCGGAATAGAATGTGCGTTCATTATAGCGGAATAGCCTGAATTTATGGCAAATTCTAGTCTATATACACGGCTATAATGACCGTAGTGGTCAGCCGCTTGCCACCGAGTCACCGACGTCGGTCCAGAACACTCCATGGAAGGGCGACCAATCAGAGGTAGAACAAAACGCGCGGTCATTACATCTGTATTTAGGTGAACTTCCAGTCCAGATACAGCGATAACGACCGTACTTCGTCAGTTATCCTGGACCAAGCGTGATGATGGGCGATAAATAAGCCTGCATTACAGCTGTATTTAGGTAAACTTGCAGTCTAGATGCAGCGATAATCACCGTACTTCCTCAGGACTGACTCACACTAGCTGTATCTTAAATGTACCTGACCACGGCCGGACCCGGATGTATCTGGCCGCTATTTCGTTTAAAAATAAGTAAAAACGTTCCTCGTATGAGTATATGCCGTCAGTTATACTGCACCAAACGTGGTGATGTGCGATAAGCCTGCATTACAGCTGTATTTAAGTAAGATTGCAGTCTAGGAACGGCGATAATGACCATAACTTCCTCTGTTATGCTTGACCAAACGTGGTGGTGGGCGATCAGCCTGCCCACATGGAGCCGGCCACCTAATATAACGCTGAGTTTCGTTTTTTCTTTTTTCCCTCCTTTTTTCTCTCCTTTTTTTTTGTCTTTTTTTTAATTCCGGATTCCGTGACCTACCGAACACCTTTAGCCCAGTCGGTATGTCCAGCTAGATTCGATTTGTTGAAATGCTGACCACTGTTCGAATGCAGTTGGAACTCAATTAATGAAATCGAAGGGAAAAGTCGAACCCGCTAACAATCTGGCGTTCACTCGTCTGCTTACAGTTGACGCTGGACTTGGGTATGCATTTTTTTTTTTTTTTTTTTTTTTTTAGCAAAGTTTCATTATAAAGGCAACAGGAGGCCGGGAATCCCTCCACATCTCACATTCGGGCCGTTGATCTTTCGAATCTACGGTCAGAAGTTGAGATTTCAGGTCAGTGGGACTCGGCCCCGGGTCCAGTGTCCCATGCTCCTATCAACAGTCTTGCTATCTCTGAAAAAAAGGGGAAAAATAGACAATTGAAATCTACCCAAAGACACCAAGGAACGAGCTCTCTCTCTATCCAAGATCCTACAGCCATTCATTCATATCCGGGAGCATTACCCGGCTTCGCTTCCCGGAAGTCTGTTTTCGACTCCCCACGTCTCCTGAAACTTTCCATCTGCCCTCTACAGTCTGCATTACCTGTAATCTCTCAGTTTTGCGAACACCATGTAATCTTTCCAACTAGAGTCCTCCTGAGCTTAGCCAAGGTCCTATCACCAATTCGGAATCCTCTGAAATCCTTACCAATCTATTCTCGACTGCCCACGTGTTTAGAAACCAATCTTCGTTCTTCGAATGCCAGTCTGCTCTAATCACCTTCCTTATCTGGGTCTTCACAATAGTCAGTGTATGAGGGAGTGTCCAGTGATCACCCTGAAACCGGGCTGCATTCCTTGTCTGCCAGATCACCTCCATTAGTATACCTCAGAGTCTGCATGTTTGTGCTAGTAACCCCAGCCCCTAGAGAGTGAGTTCGTTGTTACTGATTTCCCTGTAAAGATCCAGTTATCTGTCCATTCTAGCACTTGGGAGGTAACCCGTGTCGTGATGGCCTTCCAGTGGCGGCGCCACCACTGCCACAGTCTTTTTGACAGTGGACAGTGGATCCACAAATGCACTGTAGTTTCCCAAGCCCACATACAGCGTGAGCAGGTTTGGGCAATGGTCATACCTTTGGATGATAACCATGTGGCCGAGGGCACCACTTGTAGGGATTGCAGCCACAGTAAAGCCGCTGTCTTCTGATTGGTCGCTTTCTTCAATTGGGACCACAAGCAATGCAGGTCTTGCTCCGTCATCAGGATGGGGCATTAATCCTCCCATCTTCTGCAGGCCACTGCTGAGGGGGTCCTCTCCTTACTCCAGACCTCATCAAGTCTCTGCCAGTCTTTGTTGAATATTGGACCAGTGGGACTAAATCACCCTGCTGGCTTTTTAATTTCCAGCCATAGGGAAACGGTTCCATCTTGTACTGAGCAGCCAATACTCCCCCTTTGCATGACTCTTTACCCTTTTTGTCCCTGGTGACCCACCATTGATATACTCCAGAGTATGCAATATTGACTGGACCTGACGCTCCTCCCCTAGTGAAAGCCTCT